TGGCTGAGGATCCGAGCACCCCATGTTGAAAAAGGACTGGCCTCCCCAACAATCATGCAGGCCCAAAAGGCATTCGTTCTTAGAGCGAACGAACGTTCTACGAACAAGAACACTGTTCTGAGAACCTAAAGCCGATGTGCTTGGACAACGCAACATCAAACAGAAATTTTCTAAGAACATTCCGTGCGAACTACAAGAGGCTGGCGGCGCGCACAAGGGGGTAGTAGAAGGGGGCAAGGCTTCTGAGAAGGAGGCTGCGCCTTAGAAGGCGCTGGCCTTACATCTACAGACAAGGCCCGGGCCTTGTAACAAGCAGGGGTGCTTCTAAGAAGCCTTCCCCACTCCCCCATACCCCGCCCTCCCGCGCGTGGCCAGAGAGGTCCTCAGAACATTAGTTTGCTGGGCCTATGGGCAAGCCAGGACGCTTCGCCACTGCTTGGCCCTGACGTCCCAACGCTGCCTAGAAGCCGTCGAGACCCGCCCACCCCCCGGGCCTGCAGCCACTCCCGCGGCGGCGGCAGCGGCGGGTCCACGAGCGCGCGCATGACCGCGTGGTCGTCCTGCGGCGCCCTGCCGCCGCGCCCCTAGGGCGGCGCGCACGCGGGCGCGCTCGCGCTCGGCTTGGACTTCGCCAGGCCATGAGACCCTTCAGGACCGGCGATGGATGGGCGATGTGGGGAGGAGGCACCGCCTTCTGAGCCCTTCCCCCGCGGCACTGCCCATATACCTCCTTCTCACATTGTCCTCCTCCTCCTCCTCCTCATCTCGCTGCTGCTGATCATCCACATCATCCTCATCATTGTCATCATTGTCATCGTCGTCGTCGTCATCGTCATCATCATCGGCATCATCATCATCAGCAGCAGCAACATCATAATCAACATCAACATCATCTCTGGACCCCAGCCCAGGGACGGAAATTCCATCCCGAGCCATTTTATGACGTCACTGGAGGCCCAGTGAGGGCCCCCACAAATCGAAAATGGCCAGAAACCTCAAATCATGACTGCTGTCACGGCAAGAGAAGGTGAGAGTCCCCCGAGATATTGTTTTACGGATCGCAGATCTGATCTCCAGCGGCCACTCGGACTGATTCAGGCACCCCCACAACGCTCTCGGAGAGGCGCAGCTGCTGGAGATAAGCTTACAAGAACGCCAGAAAATAGAAACCTAGACCCTCGAGCTATCGATCCTCGAACTTCGAACCTCGAACCTCCTCCTCCTCTTCCTCCCTCCTCCTTCTCCATCTCATTCCTCCCGCTCCTCCGACTTCTCCTCCTGATCCTTTTCCCCTTTACTCATGCCACTAGGGGCAGATCCAGCGATGGAGAGGAAACGGAGGAGGGGAAGGACGACCAGACAGGAGAGCAGCAAAAGGTCTGATCTGCAAACCCGTGGAGACCAGGCCAAGCCTGGGCACGCTTCACAATTCAAACCTGCGGGATCTTTCCACCACTTTGGGGAGGCAGCCCCCTCGCCAGCCTGGACAAGAGCTCCTTCCGGGCTTTGGACGGAGGGAGGTCAGGTTTGCACGGTCAGGAGAGAAAAAGGATGGATATCGAGAGAGAGAGAGGGAATGAATGAATGATTGGATGCACTTCCTGGTCCACTATGTCTCTGCTGATCGATCGTGCTCTACAGCGTGCGCGAATGTACTGGACGGAGGAAGACGTGCTCTGAATCGGCTGGAGTTCGGCCTGATCGACGAAATATCCACAAGGCCAACGAACCCACCGACACGACACTCCGAACCTCCTGAACGGCCTATGGTTAGGTCGGGCGTGTCCCCCTATAGGCGGATGTTGGAATATTTGTGTATTTACTCATTAATACATGTATACATATATATATACATGTATATATATAGTGTGTATATATATATATGTCTATATCTATATATATATATATATATGTGTATGTATATTTATATGTGTGTGTGGGTGTGGGTGTGGGTTGTGGGTGGGTGGGTGGTGGGTGGGTGGGTGTGGTGCTGCGCGCGCGCGCGTGGGTGCGTGCGTGCGTGCGTGCGTGCGTGCGTGCGTGCCTACACCCTCCTTCTCCGCCTCCGCCTCCTCCTCCTCCTCCTCCTGCTCCCTCCTTCCCCTCCTCCTCCTCCCCTCCTCCTCCTCCTCCTCCTCCTGCTCCTCCTCCTCCTCCTTCCCCTCCTCCTCCTCCTCCTCCTCCTCCTCCTCCTCCTCCTCCTCCTCTCCTCCTCCTCCTCCTCCTCATCCCCCTGACCCCCGCCGCAGGGCGCGCGCGCGCGCGACCGACCGACCGACCTCCGCGCCGCCGGCCGCAGCGGCCGGCGCGGTGCGCAGCTCGAGGAGGTGCGCGGCGGCGCGCTGCGCCGCCAGCAGCGCCTGCGCGCGGCTGGCATGCAGCGCCTCGAGGCCTCTCCGAGGGGGGGGGGGGGCTGGCTCTCTTGCGGGGCCTCTCCTGCTCCGCGATCCCCGTGGTCCTGGATTCGATATTCCTCCTCCTCCTCCCTCCTCCTCCTCCTCCTCCTCCTCCTCCTCCTCCTCCATCCTGCTCCTCGATCCTCCTCCTCCTCGATCCTCCTCATCGAGACCTCTGAGCCTTCTCGATCCTCCTCCTCCTCCTCCTCCTCCTCCCTCCTCCTCCTCCTCCTCCTCCTCCCCTCCCCCTCCTCCTCCTCCTCCTCCTCCGCCTCCTCCTCCTCCTCCTCCTCCTCCTCCTCCTCCTCCTCCTCCTTGGTCCGAGCCCGCCCTGAGAGGTGGGGAAGTCACGAGCGGGGAACATATCCGAACCCGCACCCTCGCGGCCTGGACTCCGGGGCGCGACCCCGCGGATGCACGGTCCACCGGATGCGCTCCGCGCGGGGCAGCCACGAACAAGACTTATCCAATCCGTAGGGTCGCGGTCCAGCGGTCCGGGGGCCCCGCACGCGGATCCAGCCATTCTTCGTCGACGGCTCAGGTGCTGCCAGAGGTGCCCCTGGCCCAAGAAGCCTCCCAGGATTGCCAAGGAGGCGCACCCCTCACGAGACCCGGAGGGACCTGCGGTGAGGTCGGGCATGTCACCCTACACACGAATTTTGGACGAAAAGTTAAACATAATAAAAATTACCCCAGAATGATGAAGCATCGTCGAAAATTCGTCCCCAGACAACTTAATGTACTATGTTTGGACATTCCTCCTATAGAGGGACAGGCCCGACTTACACCTAGGGGCTCCAGCATTGAGCGAAGAGCTGGGTGCACCTTGGGCCGGGTGCACCTTTAGCAAACCCCGAGCGGTGCATGCATGGGAAGGGGCAGCGGGTCTGCGTGACAACTCTGGCGGCCAGGGCGGTACCGTGAGGGTCCGGCGTGCTTATTCGAGAGATGCGCATTGCACGTCAGAGGTGCGTTGGCAAGATGGTGAAACACGTTGGGCATCGGTTACTGGGGGGCGACAATCGGTGGTAGACAACGCTCCGTTTAGTAAACCTCCCTTTCATGCGAACGGCCTGGGACCGAAACGGACGGACCTGGACCCGCAAAAATGACGGCCGCGACGCCCTCTCGCGAACCGAAAACGGCAAATTCGCTAATCGACGTGTCAAGGTAGGTCCATCAATCTCCGAGAAAAAGGGGAGGGGGAAAGAAAGGTGCCCTTTGGGGGGCCCTAAAGGGCCTTTGTGGCCCGAAAGGGCTCCTTGAGGGGCCCTAAAGGGTCTCTTTTCTCCAGCCCTTGCTGCCCCCCCCACTCATTCGCGCCAAAGCCGCTGCTATAGAATTCTGGCGGCTCCGTCGTGAAACAACGGTGACAACGCGGGAACGAATACTCCGCTTCAAGGTCCCTGCAGATCTGGGGACAAGCCTGAGAGCACCCGCAGATCCTGGGCAGGGCAAGGATGAAAGGGGAGAAGGGAGAGGTTCGAGACGTTCTGGTGTGCTCTTGTTTGCTCTCGGCGGCTTTGCAGCCTCGGGATGCCTTCCAGCAGCTGAGCCTCGCCCAGCGCGTTCCGAGGGGTGCCCGGATCAGCCAGAACGGACGCGGAGGCCCGAGCTGTGTGCCGAATGCCGAACGCCAAACCACCTCTCGCAGCGAAAAAAAACAAGTGTTGGCCACTCTCGGACTCTGGGAACCTTCGCTGGGCCCCGCGGGCGTCAAAAAAGAGCTCGCCGGGATGGAAAACTGGTCCTGGGAAGAGGTCTGGACCTCGTGGGGTCCACGCTGAGAGGACAACACAACGCCGAAGTTCTGGGTCCTTCCTCCTCCTCCTCCTCCTCCTCCTCCTCCTCCTCCTCCTCCTCCTCCTCCTCCTCCTCCTCTCGTCCATGTCCAACCATCTCCTCCTCCTTCTCCTCCCTGCTCCCCCTGATCCCCTCCATCTCACGCATACCTTCAGGGGGGCGGACTGGCAGGCGGTCTCGGCAATGTTTCTGTTACCCCAGGAGAGGGCGGAGAGGTGGAGGGACCGCCAGACAGAAAGGCGAAGGGAGCGAGGGGGAGGGACGAAAGGGCAGGTGAGGGATGGATGTATGGCCGAGGAGGCGGTGGGAGGGAGGGAGGGAAGGACTCGCCATCGCTCGGACGTCCATTCCCCGCGCCTGTTTCGGCGTCGCGCGTGTCCTCTTTCGCACGATGGCCCAAGAGGCTCCTCGAGGGTGCTCGCCGAGACATAATGCATACGCCACAGCAATGCCAAAAGGATGGGAGGACGAATGGGCGGATGGCCGGACGAGCGCGCGCATACGTCCGGACGAAGCGGCAGAGGGAGGCAGGGAGGGCCAGCAGGGGGGGGCGGAGAGGTAGGATGATGATGATGATGATGATGATGATGATGATGATGATGATGATGATGATGATGATGATGATGATGATGATGCTGATGCTGATGATGATGAGGAGGAGGAGGAGGATGAGGATGAGGAGGAGGAGGAGACGGGGATTAGGAAGAGAGATGGGAGGAAAGAGAAGGGCCGGCGGCAAGAGAGGTGTGATCGCAACGCAACAGACATCGTGCCCGTCACATCTGCCGCTGGGACCTCATTCACCCCTGTTTCCTCCCCTCCCGCTCGTCTTCACTCCTCCCCTCCCGCCCTTTCAATTCCTATACCGTCAAGTCCTTCCTGTTGTATATATATATATATATATGCGTCGCTTCGCACCCTACACCCTTGACTTGATGGATGAGACGTTCAGGGGCGTCGTCGACCCCCTGGATCTCACAGCACCACGCCTGCGAATCCAAGGGCAAGTAAGGACAGTAGACAGAGATCAACAGAGCCGAAGGCGCGGCCGATGGAGATGAGTTCGTGCTCGGCAGGCGATGCACCGCTCCTGGGCTGCCTAGAATGAAGGGGCCCAGGGACACACAAATAAACAAACACAAATAACCGGATTCCCAATATGTGCGTATATGTTCTGAGTTGTGTTCCCCCCCACTTCCCATATGTTCCCACATTTTCCTTTGAACCGATGATGAATTGTGTCTGTGTGTTTTGTTCCCCTCCTGAAAGAAACATCACCCCATGAAGACATCGAGGCCCCCTGGGGGGGGGGCAGAGGCCCGAAGTTCCGACCGCTTCCCTGGGCCAGATTTCGACGGCGCCGGGGCCCGGCGAGGGTCTCCAGAGGCCGAGAACCACGGAACGCATCCGTCCTGACGTTGCTCAAAGACTTTGGACTTCTGTGTCGACCTCCTCTGAGACTCGAGACTGGGAGGGGGAGGGGAAGAGGAGGAGGAGGAGGAGGAGGAGGAGGAGGAGGAGGAGGAGGAGGAGGAGAGGAGGAAGAGGAGTCTAAGAAGCCTTCCCCCCTCCCCCGGAGCCCCCCTGAACCCCCAGGCGCAGGGCACTTCTCCGAAAGCCGCCGCCGTCTGAGAAGGCCTACCCCCTCTCGGACGCCTGGTGGTTCTGAGTCATGGTTCGGCTCTCCGACCATCGTTCGGGACGATACGGGCACCCCCGGGCGCTCTCGGCGAGGCTCGGCTGCTGGAACGCGTCCCGCGGCTGGAAAATCGACCGAGAACCGGCGAGCACGCTGACTAACCTCGACACCACTCCCCCCCCTGGTACGGAAGTGATCGAGTAGGGGATCAACGACAGAATTGATTTACCCCGAAGTCCCACCAGCCCTTCAGGGCGTGAGTGTTTTAGAGAGATTTCTATTCCAACCCTCCTGGGGGCGAAACAAATCAAGGGGTCATCCTCCTTGTATCGATCTTCTCCAATACGGCCCACGAAGTGCCCAGAGGTCCCAAGAGGCCACCAAGATGCCTTCAAGAAGCCCCCAAGAGACCCCCAAGATGCCCCAATAGGCTTGCAAGACGCCCCAACAGGCCTCGGCGAGAAGGCCTGAATCAGTGACATGACTACGGCTTTGGCCGAATTCTGGTCTCCTGGGGGAGACCCTTACTATGGAGCCGCCCCTCCTTTGATCGATCTCCTCCAAGATGACCCCCGAGGTCCCAAGGGTGACCCAAGACAGCCCCAAGAGGTGCCCAGCAGGCACTAAGAGGCCCCGAAGAGGCCCCCAAGTTGCTCCCACGAGACCCAAAAAGGCCCCCCCAGAGGCACCCAAGGCGCCCCAAGAGGCCTCGGCGAGAATACAAAAACCAGTGGTTCTACAAGACAGTTTGCCAATGTTGGCCTCCTGGGGAGGGAAGCGTAATGTACTACGGCCCCTCCTTTGACCGATCACCTCCAAGATGGCCCTAAGATGGGCCCAAAGGCTCCCAAGGGTGCCCCAAGACGGCCCCACGAGGTGCCCAGGAGGCCCCAAGTGGCCCCCAAGAGGCCTCCAAGATTCAACCAAGAGACCCCAGGAGGCCCCAAGAGGCCGACCAGAGGCACCCAACCCGCCCCGAGAGCCCCCCAGGACTGGCAAGAGATCCCCAATAAGTCTCTGCGAAGCAGCTCTCGGAAGAAATCCGAAGAGACTCTGAGAGGCATCCAAGAGCTGTCATGGCCTTTCGTGTCGCCCTCCTCCTCCTCCTCCTCCTAGTCTTATTCCTTATCTGCCTGTTCCTCGTCCTTCCTCGTCCTCCCCCTCCTCCCCCTCCTCCTCGTCCTCCTCCTCGTTCTCCTCCTCCACCTGCGCCTCCGATTCCATCGGCATCCTCCCCCGCTTGGGGTCGGACGGTTTGCCCAGCCCTCTCTTCTTCCACTGCGTGCTCCTCCGCAGACCTGATCAAGAGGGCAACTCGTCTGGGCATCGGTTCTCCATGGGCTGGTGGGGTTAAGCGAGGCGCCCAGAACTTTTACTTACCGATTCTATGAATGCGTCGGATGTTCGTAGGGATCTGCGAACAATCGTGCATATTTCCTGTCGTGTTGTAGTCGATTTCCTGCTCGATCACTTCCCCCCCTGCAGCCAGCCGCCGACGACAGGCACGGGGAGGAGGAGGAGGAGGAGGAGGAGGAGGAGGAGGAGGAGGAGGAGGAGAAGGAGGAAATGGAGGAGAAGGAAATTGAGGAGGAAGAGGAGGAGGAGGAAGAGGAGAAGGAGGAGGAGGAGGAGGAGGAGGAGGGTGAGGATGAGGAGGAGGCGGAGGAGGAGGCGGAAGAGGAGAAGGAGGAAGCGGAGCAGGAGCAGCAGCAGCAGGAGGAGGACGATGAGGAGGAGGGGGAGGAGGAGGGGAGGAGGCGATGGTCGCGACGCTGAGTATCGTTTATCCGATCCCTCTCCCCAGCGGCGGGGCCTGGGCCCTACTGGCAGTTTTACCCCCCTAGATGTGGAATATGGGCCGCTCCCTTCGGGTTCGAGGGGTGCATCCCGAACTGGGGGGGTAATTTGGTGGGGGTCTCTAATGGGGAGGACGAGAAGGAGAAGGAGGAGGAGGAGGGAGGAGGAGGAGGAGGAGGAGGAGGAGGTAGAGGAGGAGGAGGAGAGGAGGAGGAGGAGGGGAGGAGGAGGAGGAGGGGGAGGTGAGGAGGGAGGAGCAGAGAAGAGGAGGAGGAGGAAGAGGAGGAGGATGAGGACGATGAGGAGGAGGAGGAGGAGGCTCGGAGGAGGAGGAGGAGAAGGATGAGGATGAGGATGAGGATGAGGATGAGGATGAGGAGGAGGAGGAGGAGGAGCAGGAAGAAGAGCAGGAGCAGCAGCAGCAGCAGGAGGAGGTGAGCAGCAGCAGCAGCAGCAGCAGCAGCAGGAGGACGAGGATGAGGACGAGGAGGAGGAGGAGGAGGAGGAGGCGGAGGAGGAGGCGGAGGAGGAAGAGGAGCAGGAGCAGGAGCAGCAGCAGGAGGAGGAGGAGGGCGAGGACGAGGAGGACGAGGAGGAGGAGGAGGAGCGAGGAGGAGGAGGACGAGGAGGACGAGGAGGAGGAAAATGCGATGGGCGCGACGCGGCGCGGAGAGCTCCCGGGGCGACGCCTTCTCCGAGGGCGATGCCCGCGCCGGCGTCCGCCCCGGCGCCTCTCCTCCAGAAGCCGCGCGCCAGCTCCTGCCGCGGCTCGGGCGGCGAGAGGGAGCTGAGCAGTTTCTTAGGGTTGAGGGCTCAGGGTGAAATCCATATGGGCTTTCGCACCTCGAAAATCATTTCGTCCTGTGATTCACCTTGTGCAGATCGAAGCCTCGAAGATCAATCGAAACGGCATTTCAGACTTCACCCTTTGCCCTCCACCCACAGAAAATGCTCGGGGGAGGGACAGACGGACAGGGCCCGCAGAGGAGGGGCGAGAGGGAAGGACCGAGGATCGGCGGCGCGCACAGCGGGGGGCGGAGGGAGGGGGGGGGGCTTCTCAGAAGGAGGCTGCTTCTCAGAAGGCGCCGGCCTTACGTGCATAGGTAAGGCCCGCGCCTTCTGAGAAGCAGAAGGCGCTTCTGAGAAGCCCTCCGCGTGGCTGAGAAGAGCAAGGGGCGGGAAGGAATGGGCAGGGGGCGGAGGCAACGATGTGAGACGCGAGGGGGGGGGGGGGGGGATGGAGCGAGAAGAGGGGGGGGCAAAGGGCGACGGGGCGAGGAGGAGGAGGAGGAGGAGGAGGCTCAGGCCTCGGGTTGCGGCTGCATTCCCCCCCCCCAGGAAGTTCTGGCTGGCCTCAGCAGGCCCCCCGAGCAGCCCCAGCTGGCCTCAACAGGCCCCGCCGAGTGATCCAGACTGGTCTCGACACCCTGGCGCCGCCTCCGGCGGCGCCCCTGGGCCGGTCCGCGCCCCAGGGTTGAGGTGCTGAGATCCGCGCCCCATGGTTTGAGGTGTTGAGGTTACCGGCTCGAGGTGCTGAGGTTTTGACTTCGAGCCGATCCCCACGCAACGCGAAGCCTTACCAAAAGAGACAAAGAGAGACGCCGACATCGGACGCGCGGGTCCAGCCGCCGCGGGTGTTAGCGCCGCGCACGGCTCCCCTCCTCTGGGTCAGGAGCAAAACTCGTACGGATAAGAACCCGAGGCGCTCTCGCCGATCCAAGAAATCCGCGCGGATCCCCAAAAGTTTCCATTACGCAACGTCTCGTCTTCGAGCATCGGGTTCGTCGATGAGGCGACCAGAAAGATTCTTCGAATCAAAATAGGAAGACGTATCATGTTCGTAGAGATACGAACCGTCGGCGTATTTGTTTGTAGATTAGACGAGAAATTCGACTGTCGGGCTAATCAATGCTGTAGTCGATCATGTCGGCCAGGCGCTGACGGGCATGTGTGCTGACGGGCATGTGCGCTGACGGGACCGGCAAGGGCACGCACTGCAAGCAGAGGAGGCGGCCGCGACATCGGGAAGACTTCGTGGCCCAGCCACGCCATCCCCTACTATGCTGACTGGGCCCAGGGACACACAAAGACATAGACACAACCCCCGAGGATTCCGAATCTGGTCCGTATGTTCTGTATGTTCGGCTTCCCCTCCGCTTCCTATAGTTGCCTCTGGCTTTTTCGTGGGATTCGACGATTCTGTCTGTGTGTGTGTGTGTTTGGTCTCTCCTACTACGCACACCCGCCGCACATCGAACTGCCTGAATCGTTAATCGGCGAGGGTAGGGTTAGGTCGGGCACGGCCCCCTACAGGCGGATTCTGGGCGAAAAATCAAGAGTATTCAAACATGCAATACAACATTCGAAAATGACCAGAAAATCGTCCCCTGACTATTTTTCTACCATTGAATATTCCTCCTGTAGACGGACGTGCCCGACTTGAGGTTAAGGCCGAATCTTGCCGCCGATCTGGCAGCACCCGCTGCGGTGAAGAAGACGAGCGCGCGGCGCCAAACCGCGTGCCGCCGACGCCGACACCGCGCGCTCGAGGGTCGCTCGGGGCGACACTGCCGCCTCCCCAACCCTCACCCCCTCTAAGGGAAGCCTGCTGTGGGCGGCACGGTGCGTGCGACGCTCGGCTGCGTTCCCCCCCTCCCCCGCCTTCCCCTTCTCCATGGGGGTCCAGCATCATTTCTGAACTCGTCAGGGCCCCTTGTCATGCCCTAGAGGTCTCCGAAATCGTCAACGGGTCCGAAAAGCAGAATTTGAAATTACCCCCAAATGGTGGCAAAATGTGGAGTCCTTGAGTCCAATACGGCCTCTTTCCTCTCGGGCGGGTGTCACTTGGGCGTGGCCTGGGTGGGGGGTGAAGAAGCAAGGCCCCTTCAGGGCCCTTCCCTGAGATCCGACGTCCCGAACGAAAATACGGCATCGCGAGAAATCACGACCAAAGCCCAGGACCCAATCTTTCTGCAACATGTCTCGGGCTGTACCGATCTGTGTAAGTCTCGGGTCGGGCGAAAGGGGGGGATAGCAAAGGGGGGGTTTGAGAATCAGCTCACGTAGCTGATTTTCCCGGCGCCTCCCGGCGCCGGAGGCGCCATGTATCGAGGAATGGGCCCCTCGGTGAGGCCGAAACCAGCTGCATGCAGCAAATTTCGTAATTACCCCCCCTTTCCCAGTCCCCCCCTTTCGCCCGGCCCGAAAGGCCTGGGGCCCGAATCATTTGAAAACGCCAGGACCTTTTGGTTTTCTCCATCCCCCCATTTATGTCAGCCCCCAATGCCACCCGCGCGATCCTCAAAGATGAGATTTGGGCGCCCGGCACGGATACGGAACGACTGACAGTACTATGCCCAACAGCAGGTGCTGTCCAACACCGGCAGCAGCCGCCCTTGGGCAGGTGGTCTCCTGCCTCAAACGGACCACGTCCGCGGCGGTGCGGGCTGCGAGTCCTGTTTGAAACCAACCCAAGGATCCTATCTCGTGTTTTTTTTACACGGGGTCCCTGGAAATCTCGACCCATTCCCCAGGACCGGTTTTTCATCCTGAAGCGTTTTTTGACGGTCCCGAGGCCCGGCGAGGGCCCCTGGGGGCCGAAATTTGTGAAAAACCCTCGGTCTGATTTTTTTTGTTCCATACGTTGGATCTCTGGGAACGCGAACTGCTGTTGGGCATCGTACCCGTTCGCTCGTGCCGATGAGGCTCCCCTCCGGGCCGCGCGCCCGCCCGAGGGCCGGCGGGCCGTCCTCCTCCCCCGCGGGCAGCGGCCCGGCCCGCAGCCCGAGCGCCTCGTCGAGGACGCCGCGCCTCGGCGCCGCGCGGGGCAGCTCGACGCGGCGAAGCAGCAGCAGCTCTGCGCAGGGGCCGACCGCCCCCGCATCCCTATACAGTGGAGGCCGGTCCACAAGAGACCATCCACGAGAAACCCAGACCTGAGACCCCAGGACGTCCATTGAATTTTGGTGCGGGAGCGTCTCGCTTTCCATCGCAAAACCATTGAAAGCCAAGAAACCTTTTGCAACCTTGAGGCGAGCAAAAAGTTTCTTGGCATGGGCCCCCACCGTAGGCGGCCTCCCACGACATGCTCTCAGAAGCATATCATGCTCTGAGAACAAGACAGTCGGTGGATCACACAGCCGGTGGATGAAAACAAGACGGTCTCAGCCAAACATGTTCTAAGAACGTGTCGTCGAAACCGCGCAAGGCTCTGTGAGTATCGTTCAACCGATCCCCATCCCCAGCGGCGTGGCCTGGGCCCCACTGGCCGATCTGAACCCCCCCCGATAGGGAATATGGGTCGTTCCCTCTGGGTTTCGAGGGGTGTATCCCCAACTGGGGGGTGATTTGGGGGGGGGTCGAAGGGGAGGACGAGGAGGAGGAGGGGGAGGGAGAGGAGGAGGAGGAGGAGGATGAGGAGGATGAGGAGGAGGAGGAGGAGGATGAGGAGGAGGAGGAGGAGTGGGAGGAGGAGGAGGAGGAGGAGGAGGAGGAGGAGGAGGAGGAGGGAGGAGGAGGAGGGGATGGGGGATGGGGGATGGGGGATAGGTATGGGTTAAACGATACCTGCCCTGAGAACACATTCCTTCCTGGGCCTCACACAGTTAGGCAAGCCAGGACGCTTCACCTCTGCCTGCAGCAGTATACCACTGCCGCGCCGACACGCCAATTTTAGGTCGGGCCTGTCCCCTTACAGGCGGGTTTTGGGCGACAAATGAAAACATACCCCCAAAAATATGTGTTATTCCTTTATTTGACTACCTACCAGACCACCCCAACCCAACCCGAAGACCCGAATTTCGGGTTGGGGGGGGTAAGGGTTCCACATGTGTTTTTTCGACGTTCCCAGACCCCCCCAACTGGAA